TATATTATAATATAGAATAAAAGCAAATAATAAAAAAAGGTTAAAAAACCTCTCCTCCCCTCTCCTCTCCTCTCCTCTCCTCTCCTCTCCTCTCCTCTGTAATAAGGTCACTGTAACCCCATCTACCAAAATTACAGAAAATTTCAAACTTGTTGGTTTTAAGGAGTTTCTAACCATATTTTCAGAAAGGAAGGATTTCCTTTTGATGATTGATGAAATATTAAAATCACAGTATATATGCAGATAATCAATAAGAATAAAACTATCCTGTTTTAACTGTGACCCCCAAATAGTCAGTTCACTGCTTTAAGAATAACTTTCCTTGATGAAAACAGCAGGGGTAAGATTTGTTTAGGCTATATATCTTTCATTTCTCTTAACAGCCTTCTGATCCTATAAGCTTCTCCATGTAATAGAATTATTTTTTTCCATTCCTCTTGCTCAGTCATTAGCAGATGTTGCATGTCTGCTTCAGATTTGATAGTGGGCATTTTCATTCCATTCTGCAGGATTGTATACTCATAGCAGTTTGTACTGTAAGCTATGCAAGCTGGACACCTTCAGCATGGATCTCCATTTTGTTCCAGCTTGGACAGTTGCTTCATTTCATAAAGCAGGGGAACCTTTCAAACAAAACCACCCAGTAGGGCTTCTCCATATTCACTGCTGTATCCCCAGGAAGACATGATCATGTATGTTCCATTGCAGACCTGAGGCCCATGTTTGTATAGGTCAAAACATTCTTGCACTCTATCCTCTGAAAGCTCTTCTATCACTAATCACCAGCTATCTCAAAGTATAAACTTGGGTTCCATGGAATATATTAGGTAAATTCTGTATATTACATCTCTTACCTGTCTTGTTTGAAATCCCCCCTTCTGGACATTGAAGGCAATCATAGCAGCAAAATGGCTTCCCTTCTCTTTTTATCCTGCTATACCCTGAAAAACAATGGCCGTTGCATACAGAAAAGGGCTGTGCCTGTTGATAATAATGAAATATTGATAATTTTTTCCTTAATATTCAAAATTATTGCAGTTAAAGATCTTGGATTCCCCTGGCTCTGATATACATATCAAATATTTATATGTGGGTATGATATGAATATTGCTTTCACTTGTCACAATGTAAGTTGTTTAAGCCAGTCTGAAAACTGATGATCAATACAAGCCTTTTGTGAGATTCCCAAACCAAGAGTGGCATTCTCTTGGAATCATGATAGTTTTAAAGACTCTTATAATTCTGGACAAATATTCATAAACTTTCAGGTTATACCAAGCTAAAGAAACCAAGCTGGAAGCTAGCCAGGTTGTGGAAACCAAATAGACTCAGAAAAGAACCAAGCTCAGAGAATCCCAAGGACTCCACAGACTCAGCCATGCTAGAGATAATGGATAGTATATAGGAAGTGATGATGTTTCAGTTGATGCAGAATCTGGCTCTACTGGTTTGGTGAAATCAGTTTATGGAGGGAGTGTTAAACAAATGTTCTCCTTTCCATATATTCTTGAAATTTCTGATTACTTGCTGAAGTACGTCCAAAACTCTCTAAATACCCAGGAATTGATTCCCCCTATTTGGAAATTAATGTTTAACTTACCTGGTTAAACATGGTGGGCCAGATAATGTTCTCTGCAGAAATAGAGAGCAGCTTGTTTGGGGGAACAAATGGGTCTACCTTCCCAATTTTGACTCGTTGGAAGGATTGGTTGGGGAAAATGAGCCAGTTGATTACATCGAAGCCAGTTGCTATTTCCCCATTTTGATCAAAGAAAATATTTTCTCCAGCACTGTTATTAAATGAAACACTTCTCAGATGCTCATGAAGCTAGAGAAGTAATGGGAAAAAGTAATTAAAAAAATGATCATACACAGCTAAAGATTTTTCGGAAACTATGGATAAATATTCCATCAGAATTCCCATCCATATTAATAGTAATGGGCACTAAGAAAGGGAGGGAAGGAAGGAAGGAAGGAAGGAAGGAAGGAAGGAAGGAAGGAAGGAAGGAAGGAAGGAAGGAAGGAAGGAAGGAAGGAAGGAAGGAAGGAAGGAAGGAAGGAAGGAAGGAAGGAAGGAAGGAAGGAAGGAAGGAAGGAAGGAAGGAAGGAAGGAAGGAAGGAAGGAAGGAAGGAAGGAAGGAAGGAAGGAAGGAAGGAAGGAAGGAAGGAAGGAAGGAAGGAAGGAAGGAAGGAAGGAAGGAAGGAAGGAAGGAAGGAAGGAAGGAAGGAAGGAAGGAAGGAAGGAAGGAAGGAAGGAAGGAAGGAAGGAAGGAAGGAAGGAATTAATTTTCCTTTTGTTGCTACTTGCTCAAAATGGCATTGTGGGAGTGAACAGAGGAGAAGAAATTGTTTTAGTGAAGAGCAGGTTGCCTTCAGATCAAAGCAACTAGTACAGACAGACCACCATCAATTGGAGGTCAATTCTGGAATACAGGTTAAATCTGCTTTCCTCAGTTTTAAGCCAGAAAGTAGGTTGGAGAAAATGACATGGGAGTGAAGAGAATTCTCTGTCAGAATCAGATTGTGTATTTTAGTGTAAGCCAAATAAAACAAGTATATTTCCTAGGTTTAAACATAATTTCAAACCTTTACATTCTCCATGCAGAATGCCAAAATGCATTATAGCAATGTGTACAAGTATTTACCATGAGTTTCTAAACAAAGGCAAGACATTCATTCCTACACTTGTGGTCAAGCTTCAATTTCCTCCTTATTCTTCCTTCCCACTGCCCTTCGCACTGCCTATCTCTTCCTTTTCTTCTTCTACATACTGTATATCACTGCCCTTCCACTTACCCCCCAGGCAAAAAGTCCCTCTTAACCTCAGTTGCGCCTTCACTCTCTACTTAGTCACATTTTCCTCCTGCTTCAAGCTGTAAGAAATAGTAATGCTGACTCTTTCTCAACCTTCTACTTCAGTTTTTTTTTTATCTGACTCCTTTATATTTATTTAGGGTAAGCATTTCCTTCTGGAGAGTGCACCTGCTCTTTCTCTTATTTTTTTTTTTCTTCTTCCTGTACTTCCTAAAATTTAAGGATAAAATCCCCCCATTCTTTCCATATCTCCCATATCAGTAGGAACATGCTTAAGACACATGCCAAGATAGTAGCAGAAGGTTCTAGCTGTTGTATTAGTGGTTCCTGGTTATTGTGGAAAGAGCATCCATCCCATTCTTACCTGCCACACGTATTCATTCAACGTCTTACATTTTGAGCCATATCCTCTCGCCTTGAGTTTGTATTTGGATGAAAGCATGACCTGCAAAGCATGTGCCACAGCATGGACTGCATTGTAGACACTGTAGCTCTGACCAGTCATAACGGTCTCAAAAACAGACTTAGGAAGGGTCTCTAGTTCCTCCTCACCTGTGCATTCATTCTCAGCATCCTCCTCTAACATGGCATTGGAGAAAGAACATTCAAATGCACTTTCCCAAAACACTCTGATCAAACTGTCTTCCTCTCCAGAAGTAACTTTTCTCATCTGAAGAAATCTCTTGAAGCCCAATAGGTCCTTTGAGGAAACTTGAAAAGACAGAGAACCATGCATGAAATCCATACTCCGATATCTTTGAAAGGGGAGTGATGAGAACTCCATCTGGGCTGGTATTATCCAAATTTTGTCTTTTCTCTTCACTGTTGTGCCCTCAAAGTCTGAAACGTAGGGCAACATTCTCAGAACGATCATGTCCTGGTTTTCACAATAGATAATCACAACATTGGCACTACTTGTCATAACAACATTGTAAAGTTTTATATAACGTGTAAGCAGGTTATATATTTCATTGGAAACAGATGCCTTTGGTAATTCTTCCACAAAGTCAAAGCAAACACCTTTCTGAGAAAATGTGGTGAGCCTGTTCTGTAGAAATCTCTGTCTTTTCACAGCACTTTGGACAATCAGCCCAATCCATATCCACTGAAAATATAGCAACAATTGGATCATCCCCTTGATTTGAAGATCTTCATTTGGAAATGCCTGGTGCAAGAAAACAACCTGTGTGCTGTCATCTATCACTGGAGCAGAGCCATATGGCAGCTAAGAAAGATAATTTAAATATAAGGTTAAAACAGCATTTGTGTTTAAGGGTAAAGACTTCTGCAAAATCAACTGCTGTATTGTGATATTGTTCAAAGCACCAAGAAAGCAAAAGCTTGATTTCTTTTTGCATTCTGAAAGAGAATATAAAAAGAATGTCCTTTTCCTAAATGTTTTTGAGAATGTCTATGTTATAAAACTGTTGATTGACTGAGTATGTGTCATTAAGTCATTGACTCTTAGCATCCACACAGATAGATTTTCTCCATGACAATCTGTCCCTAATCTGGTCTTTCAGGTCTTCCAACAGTTATAAAATTATAAGCCTATAAATCTGTGGGAATTGTAGAGAATATGTGTAGTGCATTCAATGATCCCTGTATCAAGACTGGTTTATGAAGCGTTTGAACCAATGTTTCTTAATGGTCTGATTTTCACCAGGAGTTTGTACTATATTGCCCCCAAAGCTTTGAACTAATTCCTATCAATTACTGTCATTTTCAGAATTGGTCAAGCAGTTTTAAAATTTACTTATTTCCCTTTTCTCTCCCTCTTTCTCTCCCTCTCCCTCTTTCTCTAGCACACATACACATATATTTCCATGCTGCTACAATTAAAAAAACAAAAACTACTCTTGGTGACTTACATAAAACAAATACAGATTAAAACATCCAGAATAACACAAAAAGAACTATTAAAACAATGAAAAACAAAAACTATACTGTATAAAATACAAAGAAGATAAATCAGGGCAACATTCACATCAGGGAAAAGTTCTCTGATGCGGTTTGAAAGTCAAGAGTCCCCAAACATCAGAATAGAAATTAAATTAAGTTGTTACATCTCCAATAGTTATAGAGAAATATTTCAATGAAATACAATTGTCCAATACTTTTTGTTCTTATTTCTATTGTTATTCAAGGGTTGTAAAACTTTCTCAGAGTTTATTGAACTATTCACGGAGCACAAAAACAGAATGGTAAATTTTGCAGTTTGACATCTGAGCATCCATTTCTATTAGATATTTCTCTGAATGGATGAAGATAGTCTTTTGTGAAATCAACAATAAAGTGGAATAGGATCTTGTACATTTTTTGTATCAGTGGCTACCAGAAAGAACAAAGAATATCCTTAAGTTATATTTATTTAATAAAAATTAAATAATAAAAATGTGTTAAGTTATATTCATATGAGAAAATAGAAATACAGGGAACCCAGTATTGCTGTCTGCTCTTTTATATTTTGTTTTTACCACTGTCTACATTCAAAACACAAACCCTCTTTTGTATGCCCTCCTTTTGGAAAGAGATGTTACCTGTGGGATCTTGTAAATGCTCAGAATATTTGACATGAACTGGCTAATGAAAGCATTAGGACCTGCAAGAACAGCAACCACATTGTCCTTGAGATCACACTTGTAGTTTGGGATGAATCTTCCCTTTGAAGAGAGAAGTTCCATGGAAGCGAGATAGATCCAACGTGCCAAGAAATAGCTATTAGAGTCATGGATGCCCAATGTGATATTGGGCAAGATCCCGAGATTTTCATTGATTTCTTTGACAGCAAATTCCAAGGCCAGGATATGCTGAAAATTCTGCATATGAATTCTGAAATAAGAATTAGAAATGTTGTTACAATTCTTCTGTTTTAGAATAGGAACTTTGCTGCATTATCATTTATATTTTCTACTTTTCCTTTAGAAGATTTGATGTCACCCCTCTAGAATAAGGAAAAATCTAGATAGATTAATAATGGAACCAAAGACTTTTTTGGATATCAGTCCAAGAATATCAGTTATTTGGAAGTAACATTGTCTCAAAGGTTCTTAATTATGAAATGGAATTTCCTTTCCTTGTTTCTATTTTTAATATTTCACTTCTGTAAATTAGAGAAATATGAATTAGGTATACTTGGATTCTTCACACTATTGAATGAGCTGAATTTTGATGCAAGAGTAGAGGAAACCATCCTAGCCCAGTGGATGAAATAGTCTCTTTGAGAGACAGTAGTGGGCCAATGGAGTCCAATCCCTTTCACACATTTAAATCTGCCATCATCAGAGGTAAGATGTGGAGAACATGCAAAATGAAATCATAGGATTTTCACCGTGTGACCTGAAGACAGTAGAACTGCTTGTAATTTTACTATCTATCCCATCTTCCCCATCCTAACTTCTGCTTGTATTTCTTTTTCTACGAATAAAATTAATTCAATCATTCTAGTTCAGGAAACAAGTTAAATGAAAATTCGGAATCTTCCCCTGCCACAGGTTTCCTCTTTGGCTATGACCACCACCATCTCCTCCTGCAATGGTTTCTAATGCCAGAACAAGTAAATGATAAATGATAAAGCTCAGGTATTTGAATTTTTAAAAAAGAATGGGTGAAGGAAGGAGCAGGAGCAGGAGTGGTGGTGGGAAAAGGAGAAGGAAGAGGAGCATCATCATTATGAGCAGCAGCAGCAGCAGCAGCTAGCATAAATAACCTGTCACTTTGAATATCTATTAATGATGTTGCAAGAAGGAAAGAGAGAATCTAGTTGATTATAACTCAAATAACAAAACAACAATATAGATCATTATCACAAACACATAATGGCACATGGAGGTAAGCTCTAATTGCTCAATCATTCCATATTGCCCCTACCGCTCAGAATCCCCCAAACAAATAATCTTGCCAGAAAGGATATCTCCTTTTTTTTTCTTTTTGTTTCTTTAAAAATAATCACATGAACAAAGAGGTAATTTTGTGTTTTTACTTATAATTGCTGAAAGGAAATTTGGAAGCTACTTCTTACTATTACTTTTTATTCTTTCTTTTTGCACTTTTGGCTTTTTCTTTGTTCTCTTCACCTTTCTTTACTTTATATTAGTTGTCATTAGATTTTATTTCTCTTTTAATTTTTTTTCATAAAGTTATATAAGAAAATATTTACATGAAATCAACATTTTCTTCTGATGGATTCCTTATGAATGTTACAGTGCTGGAAAACATGGAAATCTGAAAAGTAATGCCACCAATAACCAGATATTCTGAATGATATTTTTTGTGCTTAATAAGGACTGGGTCCCCCACATTACATTTAGCAAGAGGAATATAGCATGCGATCTGAGGCAATAAGATTAGTAAGGTTGCAAAGAATAGAACCATGTTGGAGGACAAACCTTGTTTTGGGTTAAAAGTACCATGTAAATAATCAGACTGAAAAAACTTTATATTCTTCACTTACATCCCAAGACAGGGGGAAAAAAATATCCTGCAGTTTTATTTCATTGTTTTGTTCTGTTCCTTATGTGTCCATAGGGACTGGAAGATAAAAATGACAGGAAGACAATCATTATATGCTTGTGGAAAGTTTTGCTATGGTGTTATTGAAGAACACCTGGAATGTTTTTCAAAAATTAGCTGTGGCCATTTTTGTGACACTATGGGAATTATTTTTAATTGATTTTGTTCCCTTAAATTGTTTTTGACTGCTAGTGACCACACAGATAGATCTTCTCCATGACAGTCTATCCCCAGTCTGTTCTTTCATGTCTCCCAAGGGTGCACTCATAACCACTGTGCCTGAGTCCATCCACTTTGCTGCTGGTTGTCCTCTCCTTCTCTTTCCTTCCAACTTGCCCAGCATTAGAGCCTTCTCCAGAGATCTGGGTCTTCACACAGTGTGTCCAAAGTAGGATAGTTTGAGCCTGGTCATTTGTGCCTACACTGAGAACTCTGGGTTGATATGTTCAGTGATCCATCAGTTTGTTTTCTTGGCTGTCCACAGTATTCTCAATCACAACACCAAAGTTCAAAGGCGTCAATATTCTTCCAGTCCTGCTTCTTTAAAGTCCACCTTTCACTTCTATAGATTATCACAGGGAATATCATGGCTTGCATGATTGTGATCTTTGTAAGTAATGGGAATTGTAACATGTAACTAATGGCAACATTATGGAGGGTACAGAAAATAATGGAGAGGTGGTCAGGTTGCTGCTTATATAATTTGCAAAGGTGGTATCTCAAAAAGAAGAATTAGAATGGCCTAGGTTTTCCAGCTGAGAAAATGTCTAATTACATTTTCTCAGCTGGAAAAATAGATTAAATGTCTAGAAATGTCTATCATGAAGTATGAATCAGAGATTTACCTCCCCCTACCTTTTTTCCCCCTTTTGGCTACTCGAATATCAATTAAAATTACTCAATAGTAAAATGATGGTATAGCAGCTGCAGCAAAGATCCTGGGGAAACAGGTCCTGGGTACTGTAGATGAAACTCTCTCAATGGCAAGGAGCAATGCCTTGGAAGTAGTTGGAATGAACTGCCTTGTCACAGAATGTGGATGTCATGACATACAAGGATTGCCGCTGCAGAAATCATTGACTAAACAACTAGCACAGGCACTGAGACAGAAAAAGCTGGTTTCCTTGGTCCCAGTAGATGGTATTCTTTGACAGATGGAACCTGGGGCATATCACTTCTGTCAGACTTAATGAGACAAGTAGAAGTCATCAGAGAAGAGAGATCCCTCAAATAACCTGGCCCCATGCCATGAAGGGCTATATAAGTAACAACTAAGAGTTCAGAACAATCCCCAAATTGTGCACTGGATCTATTGGGCTGGTACCATCCTGTCCAGAAATAAAGACAGAAAATCACCAGGTTTGGGTGGCCCTAAAACCCCCAACTCACTAACAAAAAACCTAAAGCTAGTCTGGTGTACTGGTTAAGGTGCACCAGGCTAGAAGCGAAGAGATTATGAATTCTAGTCCTGTTTTAGGCACGAAACCAGCTGGGTGACCTTGGGCCCTTCACTCTATCTCAGCCCTAGGAAGAAGGCAAGGGCAAACCTCTTCTGAAATCTTGCCAAGAAGACTGCAGGGATTTGTCCAGGCAGTTGCCCAGAGTCAAAACTGACACAAAAACATGCACACACACAATACTCTCTCCCCCCCCCCCCACAAAAAACTACTACTTCTTGCTACATTTTAGCTGAAGCCTGTTCTTTTCCATCTAACTGCTTCAGCAGTATTATTTGGCCACCAGAGGCAGAGATTTATAACTGATTCTCACCCCATGATCCTTCACTCCATATCTTCAAATGACAAATCCAAAGGCTTCATATACATGTTAAAGAGTGTCATGACCTGAGGGATTCCACAAAGAAAAGCCCTTGGACTAGATCTCTCCTCCCCCATCCCAACTGGCCTGAGAGAAAGGAGAACCACAGCATCATTGTGTCCCCCACTCCTACCACGTCCAGGAGGATACCATGATTGTTGGTGTTCAAAGCTGTTGAGAGATCAAGGAAAGCTGGGATGGGTGCACCACCTCGAGCCCACTCCCACCAGAGGTCATCCATAGGCATGATCAATGTCTTAGTTCTATACCAAGGACTGAAACCTTCCATACCAAGGACTGAAACTAAGTCTTGATAATCCTTCTGGAATTCTCTGAGGCTACAGCATGATCACTTTCTCAACAACCTTTCCTTAAAAGGGAAAATTGGATATAGGGCAAAAAGTATTGAATATGGTTGTGTCCATCCTTGGTTTCCTGCATGAATGGGACCACCCCCTATCTCCAAGATCAATTCATCACTGTCTGGACCTAACCTCATGTTATCTCCCAGGAAGCCTTGGCTAACCAGGAGGGACATGAGTTACTCAAAACAATGCCACCATGTTTTTCTACCCTAATTGCCACCAAATAGGCCTTAACAGTGATGCATGGATCTCTGGAAAGATCTTGTTCCAGAAGGCAAGTGCTTCAAGAAAGAAGACAATGTTTAATTGAGTGGACCAGCTTTGTTGTACATGAGAGCCTTAACAGAATTTGAAAATGTTATAATGAAAAATTCTAGACATTTATTAGGCGTTATTTATGAATTATATTCTGAAATTCAGCATGTTCAAGACTGTATGTTTGATACCTAAGGTAGAACTGACAATTGATATGCAGCAATGGGAGTATCAATGAATGACTTAGCTTTACTGTAAATTTCATAATTAGATAACATTGAGATCCATTAGTACATTACCCAATGACGATTGCTAATTTGAATCCCAAATATTTCAACCCTATGACATATATTGGAAGATTCGCAATAAATTTTTCAGAGTACACTTCCGTACTTCCAAAGGGAACCAGACAACTGAGTTCGTCCATTCAGTCATTCAGTATTTATTTATTTATTTATTTATTTATTTATTTATTTATTTATTATATTGATTCATATAGTAGCCCATCTTGCAGTTGGGCCAAACACAAGTTTAAAAACCAAGAGGTCAAGAATAAATAATAACGAACACGAATAATAGAATAAAGGTGTTGACGTAGATTTGCAAAGGCTTTTATCAGTCCAGTAATGATTGGCAACCATATGTTAATAATAAACACTTTCCTATATTTGAAGTATCATTTTATTTGTGTGTGTGTGTGTGTGAGAGAGAGAGAGAGAGAGAGTGACAGTTCATTTTGTATATGTACATGTACACAGAGAGATATAAATATACATATATACATACTTTTCTGGGCTTTGCTGTTTATTACTTACTATTGGTTAATTGGTTCCACTTGTTTTTTTTTTTTTTAATGAAACTTACAAAAAGGAACAAATTATTCACAACTTCAATGGCATTGGTTGATATGAAACTGCCCAGTTTAGACCAAGCCTGAAGTACTGTTCATCAGTGATGGAACTTGTTTCCAACTCACCCAGTAGCAGAATAATGAAAAGATCCTCAAATTTTATTTACAAAACCATGAAGTTAATTTCTGTAACTTCACTGAAGCTTCTAATATTTTCAACATCTGAGATGCTTGTACTTCAGTATCTGTTCCCCTTAGTAGCAATTGTCCTCAAAGGAACCAGAATTAGTATCACTTGGTAGAATGTTGTAGGTCTTTCCTGGTTATAGACCTCTGCATGTGAATTTTTCTCTTGAGTTTGTGTCAGACATATTGGATAGAACTTTTTCTGATGATGGTGATGGTGATGATGATGATGATGATGATGATGATGATGATGATGATGATGATGATGATATGTTCAGATTGATGGTACTGATTCCAGGATCAACAAACTCCCGCATGTAATGAGCCCTGCATTTTGTGTTGGAATAGGGGGAAGACTGTAATGCACTGAATCAATGAGCAAATTAAATTCCATATTCAGGATTATTTCTTTATTAACTGATCCTTTGTATTCAGATCAGGTCTCAAGATAATGATATAGCATTTGGGGAAAAAGATGCAGCCCAGTAATCCTGCTGCTGAGGCCAAAATGGAGAAGATCTCCACCGCCACCATATATTTGCCCTTGGTGCTCAGATAGCTGGGAACAAATGATACCCAGACACTACAAAAGCAATGGCCAGGTGTCCTGTCTGGACCATGGTTATTATGGTCCCTGACACAGGATTTCCTGTTTCTTTTTTCTTTCCTACCCATGCCAGGAAAGTAAGCACCAATTGCTTTCCTTTTGGTGGTTATATTTTTCAAGGACTAGTGGAAAAACAAGCAAACGAGGAGCAACAGTTTTATCATTCTTCCTGTCATCTGGAGCATAAAGGGGAGCTTGACAGAATATCCATCCATCCATCCACAGTATTCATCTCTATCCAGCATTTCGCCATTGCTCTGCTGATTCATTTTTTTAAAGAAGCATCATTTCACCATTCTACTGCTGAACACTGCTCACCTCATAATAAAAGAGCAATCAGGCAGCCCAGAATCCCCATATGAAAGAACATTGAAGAAAGCAGAGCCTGAGGATAGTGGGGGATCCTTGCCAGAGTAAACTAATATTTATATGAGATACAGCAGACGGGGAAACATTACTATTGATGTAGGGAAAGATAACGTGACTAGAAACAGCCTTCCAACCACCCTAGAGACAGGCTGAGGATAATCTTATTAATTCCTGTGCACTCAAAATGGTAGGTGGCCCATCCTGCTGCTGGAGCAAGGAAGAAGGGTGGTTCAGCCCTCAGTCGGAAAGTAAAACAGGAAATGAAAAATCTGGGTTAAAACTTAAGGGAAATAAAGGTATCATCTATCTGCATGCTTGTATGAACATTAGACAGAGCAAGAAGGGAAAGGTTGCTAATATTTTGGTTTTCCAGGACTCAAGAGCAGGTAAAGATGGACAGGATGCAGGACAC